TATCGTCTTTGAAAAACGTAAAACACACAGACCGGTGACGATGAGCAGCGTTAATGATGCTTTCACCCAGCAGCCTTGCAGTCTTGACTCCCAGTATTGCAATGGTTGATCCGCTTGACAAGCGTGACAATTGAATCATTTTCTTCATACAACCTAAAGGCTAATGTTCAACAGTAAAGCTTAAGGACTGATGAAGAAGAAGAATCAAATTTTATGTTTCATCAATTGTTTCTCTATAGGGAAAAGGAGATAACCATTTACATTTAATTATTTAGAGACTTTAATACTACGAGTAAGTGGATCAATATTTATTCATTCAGTCCGCAACTTGCGTTGAAACACTATTAACATTCATAAAGAATGTAATTATCGCCATCAAGCGTCATTATCAATCATTACCTACGGAAAACTTTAGTAATATTTCATTTACATGTTTACAGTTCCCGCATGAGTGGATTACAAACACATATCGCGTGAGTTGAAATAATAGTTTATTGAGATACAGCATTAAATTGAAACTAAAGTGGTTTAATTTTTATTGCATGCCTTAAGCGCATAGCGTGTAGGGATGTTCTACAAGCGCCTAAAAATCAAGAATCCGACGTTTCGTCGCAATAATTCGTATCTATTATTTTGAACATACAAATGATACAAAAAGCACACTTTAGAAAGATAAATGATTATTAAACTTATAATTTTTTTATTCAATTAATTACAATTTTTACATTAAAAAAGTGGTTTTGGTGGCTTATGGCACCGATTATCAAGTCCGCATGGCGGGGTAAACACGAAACCTTTTGAAAATATCGATTCTATTTTTATTCTAATCTTATTGAGAAGCCATGGAATGTAAATGGCTGTTTAATTTTGTTTTGTTAAGTTATTTTTTTCGGCTGTGAATTTCCGAAATTTTGGGCATTCCAACAGTTTTGTAATAAAAGACTTTATTAAATATAGATCTACTTTGACTCACTGCGGGTTCAGCTGCCATCGTGAGTGAATTACAGTATCGTTTGTTTACAGCGCCTCGTGATGAAAAATAACGATTGCTGTAGAAATACAAAATATTCAAAAAACCAAATTTTATACATAATTGACCAAGGTAAGATACTATTATTATATTTATAATCGCAGATTTTCATTACAATATATTATTTCCTTTTTGTGGAGTGACCTGAGTGAATGCTAAATTAAAATAAAAACTTTAAAAATGAAATAAAGTTGAGGAGAAAAAATATTATTATCGAGTCAGTTAAAAAAGATTAGTTTTTACGTATTCTCTAGGGGTTTATATATATATATATATATATATATATATATATATATATATATATATATATATATATACATATATGGTAGTATTAGCTTTAAAATTATCATAATGAAAAGGGCGAAGTAGTTTACTGTTAGCTTGCATCCATTTTATGACTGACGTAAAAGTTTGTAGGTGCGTTTTTATGCCTTTTTTGTTGCGGAAAAATGTGAAAATTGGTGGCTACATCTTAATTTGGTATTATCTAGAACATAAGATTATAATAAAGTGTCTAATGTATTTATATATAACAAAAACAAGGGTAAAAGTAAGGGTGATAAACGAGCAGTCCACCTTATCTAGTGTACACAACTATAAATCAAAATACTGGTGTCTTGCCACCCTCTGAGGACTATGTTGAAATTCGGAATACGTGGTCACTAGTAAAAAGGGTGTCCAGTTCTTTTTACTAACCGTTTAGTAAACACAGAAGCATAATGCTAGATATCCATTATTGTGATAGCCAATTCACTGCCATGAGAGGCGAGGCTAACAGAAAGCTTATGCAATTAATTTAAAGTAGCCTTATCAATGAATTTTTCTTTTCTTTCATTTTAGAATTCGATTCCTCACAGAAAAAAAAAGTCTGCTTATTTCGGGTCATCTCTGTTAAGATATAAGATAATATGAGACTAAACTAAAATTCATTATAATGTTAAACAAATAACTATTAATAAATAACTAGTAAGGTATATTTCGTGCAAATATAGAAAGGGTACATTTTTAAACATTTTTTAACTTTTTATTAAGAGGAAAGTTCAAGACATTTTTGCGCTCCCGTTAACCAAATCTGTCACACAATTTTCTAAACAAGTTGAAGCACCATCTTAATAATCCCATAAGGTTTATTTTCGATGTACATAAGTATAAACACATATATTCCTATCGAATATTGAAGTCGGTTGTACAAAATTTTTAAATTTGGTCTTCAAATATAATATATTTGTTAAAGTTTATAATCATGTATACACATTATATCCATCATGTGTATACAAATGTAGGCTATGTATATGTACATTCAAATATGTTTTTGTTTTCGTTCCTTGATCGCTTTGAATCTCTAAAGGTACTCCAAAACGACAGAAGATTTCAGGAACTAGTTTATCTACAACTATTGAAGCTTCTTGATTTGAAATGGCGAAGACTTCTGGCCACTTAGTGAAGTAATCCATCACAACCATGAAATACTTGTTACCACTTTCACTGGACTGGACACTTCACCGGAAACAGCCCTACCACGTCAATGGCTATTCTCTCCCATGGTGCACCAACATTGTACAACTTCAATGCACCTCTTCTACGAGTCTGAGGTCCCTTTACAGCCGCAAAACTTGTACATTTGCGACACCAGTCCTCGACAATGTTTCGACAGTGGACCCAGTAAAACCGTTCTCGGATCTTCAGTAGGGTTCGTTTAACTCTTAGATGGCCTCCTTAACAATCGTTATGGTACAACTGTAGAACATCCGGTACTTTAGCTATAGAGACAAACATTTGCAAATGACAGTGTCTCCCCGAGCATTTTCCCATTTACGGCACAGAACTCCATACTGAAGGGGCCCAATAGCTTTTAGTGGTCGAACTTATCAGGCATATGTTCAGCAGTGGACTTGTGAAGGGCTGTAATTATGATGATGATGGTCGAATTCATCGCTGAGACGTCGCTCCACTTGGGCTTGGGAGCACTAGCCTTCATCCATTCCATGTTGTAAGCTTTGCTTCCACTCGTTGTTGAGGTGGTCTGTCCAGAGCATCCTCACGGATACCACTTCCTTACTCTCTTGCCTAGTACAATGTTTGCAATCTTCAGGACAAGGTCTTCTTGACAATGCATCTGCGTTGCCATGAGACAGAGACAACAAACATCCAGAATATTCCAGCAAATACGGGCGCTGACCGACCAGGCGCAGAAAGTTCGAGAGTGGACCCTTCTAGAAAGCTTAATTCTTCTGTTCGATACTAGATGGCGCTGTTGGTGGAAAGTTCAAGATTGGCATTTTCTAGGAAGCTCTCCTCGCTCTGTTCCCCGACACTAGTGAGCTTTTATTCACTCTATTCATCTTCATGTTGTGATCGCGCAAATATTGCACCATCACATAGCGGTCGACGAGACATTTTCATAAAAAACACACTAATTTTTATATTGTAAAAAAATAAGTAAGCGTCCAGCTTTAGATCCATTTATCTCAGCACACTGGGAAAGCTTATGAATGAATAATATTGAATCGCCTCCGTAAGCACGTCTTTGAAAACAAGCTTCTTCCTGACGAACTATTCGATTTCAGACCCGAAAACTCGTCCACCAATTAGATCCATCGCTTTACGCTATACATACTGAAAGGTTTATCCCACTCAACAGGTAACCATTGAATCCTTAACACCGGTGCTTTTTTCATCGATATCGCAAAAGCATTTGACATAGTCAGGCACGTCGCTTGCTTTACAAACTGTATAAACTTAACATGCCCAATAGGCTCATTCCCATCAACGGAGCCATTCTAGCCAACCGTTATCTTCGCTACTAAATTGAGGGAGCTTGCTCCTCGAAACACTTCGTCAGACCTAGAGTCCTTCAGGGCACCGTCTTCTCTCCTCTTCTCTTCACACTATACGAGTGACATCCTGAAAGACCCAGATGTCAATACCGCTCTCTTCGCCGATCAAACGGCTCTTTTTGACGCCCATTATCACAAAATACTTCTCACAAAGCTGCTCCAAAGAGCCGCCGATCGCTTAGACGATTGGTGTCGCTTATGGAGAATCGAAGTGAATGAAATGAAGAAGCTGTAAGAGCCAAAAGGCTAACAACACTAATGTCAACAGAAACTAGAGTTTGAAGAGAATTGCATAAAAAATTGAGGTAGAATTGTTTTCGGTAATCATCTTGTACTCGCCAATTCCTCCTGCACTTTTTAGTAAAAAGTTGTTATTTTGACATAACAAACAGACATTTATATTTTATTTAATTGTATAAATTCTAATTAGCAAATTCTAAAACAATGAAAATATTTTAATTTTTTGGCAGCACTGTCTCTGAAATTTAATAAATGTAGTCGAGCCAAGTCCTACCGACTGTAACAAATTCTTTTCACATTTGTTCCTAAGGAATTCTTTTTTTTTTTTGCATATTTAGAATAACATTACCAAAAAAGTTTTCACTTTCTTAACCTTTTTCATAGCAATAGAAAAATTAAATACCGGGAACATCTAAATCAAAATTTTATATTTCTTTGTTTGTGCCGTATGCGTTCTTATGACATTTTTTCGATTACGCCGAGCATTGCAATACATTGGCATGTATTGCAATGCTCGTCAATGCACAGCTAGGTTAGGAAGATCGTATCTTTAACTTATTCAGCATTCATCTCATGGATATTCATGAGGTCATAGATCATTAAGCACGAGTGCAAGCCAGAATATGGGCAGTATTGTTCCGAAAAACAACTTAAAATAAATTGTTTTTCGAATTATTGTTATTTTACTCTGTGCTGGTATTCTGTGAGAGCGTGAACCTTCCCCGGTCGAGTCGACTTATTCGTGCTACAACCATAAGATAGCTAGATAGCTGCCTCACGGCTCTACTACGTATAGGTATATATATATATTTCTTAGAAGGTAATATGTATGGATATATGTATGGTATATAAGTATGGATTACACAATGACGGAAGTTGTCTCTATTCAGGACATGAGAGACATCATAGAACAGCTACGAATGGACCTTGCCACAACACAAAATGAACTTGAAAACATTATTCTAGACAATAATGACCTCCGTTCACAAGTGACCAATCTTATCAAGGAAAATAACACATTAAAGGCTTTTCTATCCAAAACACCACCAAAGAAAAGTAAATCAAATTGAAGCACCAAAAAGAAAATTAGAAGTTTCCCACGATATTCAGATGTAAATATAATAGCCACACCGCCCAGGGCATTCAGTGACAACAAGACAGAGGAATTCTCTAACAGGAACATCCTAACCCTCGAGCAGAATCTTAAAGATCTCGAGCTGCAACTGAAGTCAGCCAAAAATGAAATAGCGGACCTTAATAATCAAATCGTAACCCTTCAAAAGGTAGTCCAAGCTAAAGAATTCGAAGAATCCTCGCTAATTCAGCACACGATTAATTTAAACTCAGAAATTGATAAAAGTAAGAGACCCAAATTGTGTATCCTGACTAACAGCTCATCCTGGGGTACGCTGTCAGCTGTTGATGTTACGTTCAATAAACAGTTTGACTACATCCGCTATTTCTCGCCAAATACTAATATTAAATATTTACTCCAGAATATTGATAAAAAATTGCATGGATCGATATGTGGGACTATTGTATTATTATGATAGGTGAAAGAGATTTTAGAACTACATGTGATTGTATAGAGTTAGTAAAAACCATAAGGGAAGCATTACATCATATTTCTCATACTAATATAATTCTATGTGCTCCTACATACGTATGTGGATCACCAATATATAATTATAAAATAGAATTATTTAATAAATTAATGTATTTGGAATTACAAAACAATCATTATGCATACTTTTATGATTCCAATCTCTTAACTTCATTTGACATGTACTCATTTAAAACTGGGAAAATCAATAAAAAGGGAATACAACATATTTACAAAAATATACTAGATAATATAAATATCGACTATAACTACTATGGTTATACTAAAATAATCACACCTCAAAAGACCAATCCTCAAGTAGAAAGTACTAAGTTTTTTTCTCGTATAGAACAGCCCGCAAAAAAAAGAATAAACGTAGTAATAAAGTACGATCTAAAAAAATACTATTGTACTATCAAAATGTAAGAGGTCTACGCACAAAAACTGTTACTTTCCATAATAATATGTCTTTAATATCAAGTGATCTTGTCATCCTTACTGAAACTTTTCTCAACGATTCTGTATATGACTCTGAACTGTTCCCTCCCGAGTATATTGTGTTAAGGAAGGATCGTGCAGGTAACGTCGAATGGGGTGGTGTTCTCTTAGCAGTAAAGAATAGTTTTACCGTTAAAAGAATTACGAACATAGATGGTTTAACTGATGATAAAGAATTGTTATTTACTCTTTTAACGTTGAAAAATATTAAACTCTTAGTGTGTGTTGCATATTTACCACCTAACTACAATGACAAGCAATATCTTGATGCATTAAATTGTATAGAAAATGCCATTAACACATATTCTGACTGTAAATTCTTGATTGTTGGTGATTTCAACTTAAGGTCTTGTAATAAATCAGTTCAAACTCAGTTCCATAATTTCTTAAAATGTTGCAACTTACAGCAATGTAATAATGTTTGTAATAAATATGGATGCATCTTGGATCTGGTATTGACTAATCTAGACTCCGGAAGTTGTACTGTGTCATTCGAAGTTGAACCATTGGTACCTATTGATGCCTATCACCCTCCGTTAGAGATCGTGCTTACACTACCAATAAGAGCTGCAATAAATATACCATTTCCACCATGTCAGAACCTTTGCACAGAATGGAATTTCCGTAAAGCAGATCTCTGTGGCTTGTACACTGATATAAATGACTTGGACTGGACGGACCTAATGCACCAACAGGACGTAAATGTAGCTTTAGAGATCTTATATAATAAGCTTAATAAAGTGATTAGTAAACGTGTTCCCAATAAATCCTTAACTACCAATCATAAATATATATATCCAAAATGGTGTACTAAAGAAATCATAAAATACATAAAATTGAAATATTTTAATTTAAAAATGTTTAAAAGTCGTGGCTTGGAATTTAATAAGGCGTTATTTAAATATTACAGAACCAAAGTAAAAAAACGTATTAATACAGCATCTATAAATTATATGATAAAAGTTGAAAATGATATAGCACGCGAACCTTCAAATTTTTGGAAATACGTTAAAGAAAAACGAAAGAATAGACAACAGAATAAGGAATTTGTGTATAATAATAGAATTTTAGAAGGGCAGCAAGCTATTGATGCATTCGCGCAGTATTTCAGCTCAGTTTTTCAACCTGATACTCCATTGTTAAATGTAGAGGCAGCGGAACGCGATGCAATGTACGCGGACTGTGTAACCAAAGTCAGTATTAATATTATTAAAGCTTCAGATCTACGATAGGCAATACGCCGTCTTAAGGCATCGGCAGCTTGTGGCCCTGATAACATACCTTCGTTTTTAATAAAGGACTGTATGGCAGTTTTAGAGGAACCATTACTGTATGTCTACAATCTCTCACTTCAACAATGCCTCTATCCCAAAGCATGGAAAGTGTCCAGGGTAACTCCTGTACCTAAAAGTGGTTCGTCCACTGATGTAACTAACTTCAGGCCTATCGCGGTGTTATCAGTATTTGCCAAGGTGTTCGAATCCATTGTAAACAATTCCATTTATAAACAAATAGGTGGGCTTCTAGATAACTGTCAACATGGATTCCGGCCGGAACGTTCTACTTTGACGAATCTACAGTTTGTGGACTACGTGACCACTCGGGTTAAGTCAAGTTGTCAAGTCGACGCAGCCTATTTTGATTTTAAGAAGGCGTTTGACCTTGTTGATAATGATATCCTTTTATTGAAATTCGCAATGCTTGGATTCTCTACACCACTTTTAAAATTTATGGCAGATTATCTTAGAGACCGAAAGCAATTTGTTAAGCTAAGAGGTTATATTTCTCAAGAATATTACACACGCTCGGGTGTGAGTCAAGGTAGTACGCTCGGTCCAACTCTATTTCTAATAATGATTAACGATCTGCCCAGTAATATCTCAAGGGCAAAATGTTTAATGTTCGCTGATGATATAAAACTTTTCCATGCAGTGACCGGAGCTGAGAACTGTATGGCATTACAGCGCGACATTGACGCAGTGGTTGAATGGAGTGTAAAAAACAAGTTGCCCCTTAATAATTCAAAGTGTAAGACTCTAACTTTTTCTCGGTCACGCAATCCAATCACTGCGACATACCAGCTAGCAGGCACTCCATTAGGACGTGTCTTTTCAATTCGCGATCTAGGCCTAATCATGGATAGTAAATTGAATTTCCATGAACATATTATTAAAACGTGCAAAGAAGCGAATAAAAGTCTAGGTTTCATAATAAGAACTTCGCATCAGTTTAAAAATGTCCGTGTGATAAAACTCCTGTATAATGCCTACGTGCGAAGTAAGCTAGAGTATAACGCCCTAGTATGGAACCCCCGAGAAATCATGTATACAATGATGGTGGAAAAAATCCAACGTAAGTTTGCCAGATATCTGTATAAACGCCAGTATGGATACTACCCATTTTTATATCCGTCAACATTTGTATCGGGCATGGTTGGTCTGGATACCCTACAGTGTGGGCGGGAACTTATGCATATAACGCATTATTATTTCTTGTTAAGTAACAAAGTAGATAATCCTGCAGTTCGTGAGACCATAGATCTTTATGTACCGGACCATTATATGCGAGGTGTTGGTAGACGTAAGCGTAGACTCCTCTCCTGTCCGCGTACGTGGCGCTCCCCACACGTAGATAACAGTACCACTTCCAGAGCCGTTAGACTAATAAACTGTTTTCTCAGGGCCAATCCAGACGCAGATATATTTTTTGACAAACCCAGCGTAATGTATAAAAACGTATTAATATTCTTAAACAACTTTGTAAGATAGTAGAATAGTATATGTTTAGGTAAATAAGTTTAATTTATGATATAGTAAATAGATCTCATTTTACTGTTGTGGCTGTAATTTATATTGTGTATGGAAATTTAATAATTGGTGATTTTTATTCTTGTGTATTTTATCTTACTTATATAGATATAAGCGATTTGGTTGTATATACTGTAAGCTTATATTTTATCAATAAATGAATGCAGTAAAGGAGACTTTTTGACTTTGACTGATTGTTGCGGTACGGATAACCATATATTGACGTAGGAGGTATTCACAGGCATTTACATTCGACATTTTTTCAATTCAATTTTTTTTATTGCAACATACATTAAAATTTAACAATTATATCCTCTATCTATATATCTGCAAAATTGTGTACTTTCTTATATTAATAAACTAAGCTTATAATTAATATCTGTTATATTCTTACCATTATTTCAAAATCTATCAATTTCATAAAACATTTGGCGATTACATTAAACGTAAGTAATGATTGTATTAAAAACGCACTCTATTTTTTAAATAAATAGTTTGAATTTTATATTGTGGGGTGTGGTCAATATGTGTACTCCGTAAAGTGGTTCGAAATTACTCGCAACCATCTAACCACAAAACCCACACTAAGTATTCTTACGAGTATATTATTAACTAACGAATACTAATGAAGGATAGGAATAAGAATTAACTGACTCGAATGAAGTAATGTTATTTCGATGTAACAAACAAGTTTTACTACAAATAAATTTACAAGGTGAAATTAACTACGAGTACAATGTAAGTTAATTGAGATATGTAGCGCGCGCGCGTCCTGTTGCTATGCCGATTGCAGGTGGAATGAACGTCGCGCAGTCTCGCGCTCTGACGAAGGCGCGGGGCCTTATCTTATCGACGTTGCGCTATTGTTCTCTGGTAGTGGCTTGATATACTTGTAAGAGTGTGGCTTAATCCCCATGCGCGTAGCGGATTTATGTAGGTCCACGGGAAGCGAGTTACGCCACATATTCCCCCTGGCCAGACCGTAACTACCGTCGATAGTAGTCTGTAAATCTTACTCTTCGGCCACTCCCTGTGATTTTCTCCTTGCTTATGACAGATTCCGTAGGAACTTTGGGTTCAGGTTCTTTGGCCATGTACGCTGGTTTAAGTCTGTCCACAGAGACATTGTTTTTCTTTCCCCTTATGTCTATGGTGAAGTACTTGGCTTTCCTGTCTAGTACTTTGAAGGGTCCGTCGTAGGGTGGTTCGAGTAGGCTTCTGACGTGATCTCGGCGTGAACATGAGAGGATGTGTGGAGGTCACGTGGTATGTAGAATGGCGTTGTAGAACTGGTGGGTCATGATGTTTGCTTGGGAGTGAGTTTTGCCATGCAGGATCGTAGACGTGTTACGTACTCTGTGACGTCTGCCGTGGTGGAGTTGTCTATTGGAGATAGGTATTAGCCTGGTAAGCTGAGAGTTTGACCATATACCAATTCAGCAGGCGTAGCTTGTAGATTCTCTTTCCACGAGTCGCGCATGCCCAAGAGAACCAGTAGAAGGGCTTGCGTCCACTGCGATGATATGTGGTACATGATTGCCGCCTTGAGTTGACGATGAAGTCGCTCGATGATGCCGTTCGCAGCTGGGTGATAGGCGGTTGTGCGCAGGTGACTCGCACCTACCAACTTGGTGAGAGCTTTGAAGGGATGATTCTCGAACTGGCGTCCGCGGTCTGTAGTCATCAGTGCAGGACAGCCGAATAGGGCTATCCAGCCAGACACTAGAGCAGCTGCGCAGGTCTCTGCCGTGATGTCCACCATGGAGTATATCTCAGGCCATCGCGTGAATCGGTCGATGACATTAAGGCAATATCTGTAACCAGAAGGCAGAGTTAGGGGCCCTACGATGTCGAGGTGGATATGGGAAAATCTCGACGAAGAAGTGAGGAAAGATGAAGGTGGGGATATGGTACGACGGGTGATTTTGCTGTTTTGGCATGACAAGTATTGTCTTGACCACTCTCTACAATCTTTATGTATCCCTGGCCATACTTATCTTTGTGAAGCCAATCGCACAGTAGCTGATCTTCCTGGATGGTGTAAGCTGTGTAGTGTATCAAAAACTTGTTTTCTGAACTGAGGAGTAATGTAAGGTCGTGGCACAGAAGTGTCGCAGTAGAGAGGTAAGTTACCATTTAAAGTGTTGATCCTTTTCAGTTGCAGGGCAGAGCCATGAAGAAGTAGATTTTACAGTTCTGGATCTTTGTCCTGAGCTCATGCAAGATCATCGTAGTCCACAGCTGTAGTGATCTCCTCGACTCTAGAAAGTGCGTCAGCTACTAAGTTTTCCTATAGGTATCTCAGGTCTTTTGTAAACTGAACAATATAGTCGAGGTGTCTGAACTGTCTAGGGGTGCATTTGTCTTTGCTTTTTGAGAAAGGGAAGGCTTATTGTCGGTGAATATTGTGTAATAGTGGAGATGGACGGTCCACTATTAACAGACTCCGAGTGGTTTTAAGGTGGAGAAATGAAACGACTGTTTATGTAAGTCCGATTGAAGTATGAATATGGAATGAATGTGGAATGGAATGGAATATATTTGCATCATATTATATTGCCGATATTTATATGGCTGGCTCACAATTGATTTGCCAATGGTAACAATTTTTATTTTATCTAGCCAATTATATTGCTTATATTATGACCAATGAAAATTATCCAAAATATACAACTATTATCTACGTTTCGTTTCCCGGCGTGAGACTTGTTTTCTTGTTCACGAAGCTACGTCGCTGGACCGGGCTATAAAAGACATGCAGATCGGTGCGCGCGCGTAGTCAGTGAGCGGCGGCGGCGTGGAATACAGCTCCGGAACAGCGAGCAGAAGCGAACTGCGGCGTTGAAGAAACGGCTCACCATTGGTCGACGGATACGTGACGATAGCGGCGTGTGAAGTCGATGTGGCGCTGAATGATATTTGCGGCTGCTTCTTGTTTCTTTATAAGAACATCAAATTATCTATATGCAGTCCGCAGTATCTCAGTAGCCAAGGATAGTTAGGAAATAAATGTTTTTTTTTATCCTTGCCTTCCGCGTTATGGTAGCAGCAGAGTATATATTATTTATTCCCGTTTAGGGTTGATTAGTCTGGCTGCTACATCACTCTCCCCCTAGCGAAAGCGTACCGGAGGCTTGACGACTCGCCCGTATCTCGTAGTTTTTAAAATAGGTTTCAACTGGGTTGATGTAGATGATGGAGTTTCAAGCTTCCTCGCTGGTGGTTTTGATGATGATGATGAATCCTCTGAAGTATCCTCGTTAATAATATAGGCAGGCTTTAGTCGGTCGATCGAAATAATCGTAGATTTCCTTCCGGGTATTTGTAGTTTAAAAGTCTTGCTATTTCTCTCTAATACTTTATACGGTCCATCGTAGGTAGGTTGAAATTGTTTTTTCATTGCGTCGTTTCTTACAAAAACTTGC